AATATAGCATACTCCAGTTCTTCCCCAATATCCTAGCCCAAATCCTTTCCTCAGCCGAATCAATGGTTAAATCATTTTTCTATAATACTCTTTGAGGTGAAGCTCTCGAACATATATGTAAAAATATAGCATAATTCAGTTCTTCCCTAATATCCTAGCCCAAATCCTTTCCTCAGCTGAATCAATTGTTAAATCATTTTTCCATATTACTCTACAAGGTGAAGCTCTCGAATATACCATGTAGCAGAGGCCCCATTTGTCTTGCAGTGCATCATTAAGTTTAAACAAGTATCAAAATTGAGACAGAAAATCTGGCAGACTGCAAATACTTACGAGATCACTTCTGAAGAAAACTAGCGAAGTATGCGTTAGAATGAACCACCTTTTCTTCCATGATGTCCATCCAATTCCTTTAATCCAACAAAAAAGGAAAAGATAATAAACGATAGGAATCCAAGCCTTTATCCTAAGACTGACTTTCTACATATACCTCATAATGTATATTTTCTAGCTAATATAAGTAATAACGGTGCTTCACAAAACTTAAGGTGAAAGGAAAATTATTAACTAAATAAATTGCAAAAGCAATGTAGACAAACCTTTTGATGATAGAAAAAGTGGACCGCTCTTTAAAACATGCGAGAAAGTTTTAAACCTTGAAATGTACTAACTTTCACAATTTTGAAAAATGCATGCTTCTCAAACTCTGGAATGCGGACAATGTAAGAAAAAACTTTTGGAAGGTAAACAATCTATTAATGTAAAAGACTCTATTCTTTTTTTCTCTTGCATCAAATTCCTCATGCCCACATGATAATATCAAACTAGAAAAACTGCCACATAGACAACTCTTCTATGAAATGGTTCGAAAAACTAGTAATGTACTTACAGGACACAGTTCTTTCTTTCTGTTGCATCAAAATTCTTCATGCCCACATAATAATATCAAAATAGAATAACTGCCACATAGGCAACTTTTCTATGAAATAGTTAAAAAATCTAGTAATGTACTTACATGACACAGTTCTTTATTTCTCTTGCATAAAATTCCTCATGGCCACATTATAATATAAAAATAGAATAACTGTCACATAGGCAAATTTTCTATGAAATGGTTCAAAAGGACCAAGCACATGAGTTACATGTAAGTAATGATTAAAAAATAGATAAGATATGTAGATAAATGATAGACAAAGATGATTATAAGAACCGTCTTGATAATGTCAAAGATGACTAAAAACCCAGAATACTAAACAATTCAAGATAGGGGGAGAGCCGACAGAATTGCCCCCATGAGAATTCAGATTTTCCGTTGATCCTGTAGCACCACCTGAAGGAGCATCAATAATTATTGCATCTCTCATGAGGAAAAACAAAAATTGATTTTCACTAAAAATCAGAGTTTTAACTTTTGTTTTTTTCTGATGGTTCAAATCATTTACTTGAGAAAAGAATAAAAAAAAAGCACGATTCATCTAAACCTGTTGAGCTTGAGATGGCTCTTCCATTTTCTGAAAAGATAAATAAAAATAAAAATTACTGAAACGTCTTTGTTAAACCACAATGTAGTCCCCTTTTCTATTTCTGAACAACAAAATCTTTTAAAAAGTAACAGAAGAAAACAAATGTATTTCGATCAACACCAGTTATGCTTGAGACGGTTCTTTTTTGCTAGCCATTTTCTGATCAACAAAATAGAGACATAATGTAAAACTCTTTGTGAAATCATGGTTTATTTTTCCGATAGAAAATTAAAGAAGAAAAAGAAATCAAAAAGATATATTAAAACCTGTTGTGCTTGAGAAGACTCTTCTTTTTTGGTAGGTATTTTCTTAGTTCATCAACACCAAAATTTTCATAAAATGAATAAAATTAACAGAAGAAAACAGAGAAAACAAATCAAAACTTGTTGTGCTTAATACAATTCTTCCTTTCTACTAGGCGACCCAGAAAATATAAAAGAATTAATGTAAAATATGAGCTAAATCAATTTGTAGTTCTTTTTCTTCCTTTTTTCTGTTTTTGACCACATTTTTTTTAAATGAAGTAAAATCCCGAAATGTCATTTTTACTATTTCTGGCCAACAAAATCTTCTGAAAACAATTTGAAAAAAATTAAAGGAAAAAGAAAATAAAAATATCGACCAAAACCTGTTGTGCTTTAGATGGCTATTCCCTTTTACCAGTCATTTTTTGGAAAAAAAATAACGTAAAATATCCATTAAATCACATTGTAGTTTTTTTAAACATATTCTGTTTCTGAACACCGAATTCCCCTAAAATCAAATAGAAAAGTAACAGTACAATAAAAGAGAAAATCAAACCAGTTGGTGTTTTAGACGGGTCTTCCTTTTTGCTAGCTATTTTCTGAAAATAAAAGAAAAACGAAGTAAAATCTCAATTAAACACACATTTTGTCTTTTCTGCTTCTTGAGACTGAACATCAAAGCCTTGTGTAAACCATCTTGAAATTCAACCAAAAACAAAGAAAGATCAGTAAAAACCTGTTGTGATTCATCCTTTTGGTAGCTATAACAATCCTCAGATCTTTTCGAATTTAGAAAAAATCACATCCCAAACGGATCACAAAATCAACGAACAGAACAGACCTTGCACTCATCAATCTCGATAATACCGCTCATTCACAACATTTAAACACGCTAACACTTAGATTCAAACAGAAATAACCCTTTGAAACGAACATAGTGGGAAAAAAAGGGAAAACGTAAAAGAGAAGAGGGAAAAAGATGACAGGGAAGAACAGAGAGAGTCTTTTTCTCCTTTGGCTGGGAATTCTTTGAGTTTAACGAAAACCCATTTTGGTCAAAGCGCCTAAAAGCCTTCCCTCCGAAAACGAAGGAGCCGTTGTACAAGTTAATCCTACTTTCTTGATTTTGTTTTTGGAGAAAAGTAAGAGTCGCGACAATTATATGCTTCTTTAACCGCCTTACCACCCCATGATTACCCGAATTTGGTTAATTAAACTAATTAATCATATTTTATCTTTTTAATTCAATTTAGTTTTATAATGTAGTTGAATTGAATTAAATATATTTATTTAAATTAAATTAAAAGAATTAAGAATATGTCTAGAAAGTCATCATGTAATTATATTATTATAGTGTGTTTGAACAATCATCATACCCATTAAATATTTAGGAGGAAATGTGAGAGAATTGATGTAATTGTATACATAAGTACACTCTTTTACCTTATAATTAATGTTTATTTTAAATTATGAATATATGTATTTGTGTAACTTAAAATAAAATGATATTATTTTAGTTTTTAGGTTAAATAATTTAAATTTTTATGTTAATCTCTAATTTCTTTATTTTTTTCAATTCTTTCCTCATTTTAAGTTCGTTTTTTGACTAAATTTGAATAATGTTTTCTTCAACTATTGTAGAATGCGTATGTAGATTCAATTTTACTTTTATAAAAAAATTTATTATTTTCAATTTAGTCTCTTAATTTTACATGATTTTTTGTTTCTTCAATTTATATATACCTATGTAATCTCAATTCATTCTTTTGATAATAAATTTCTTACTTTTTAATAAAATCTCTTAATTTTATATTTTATTCAATTTAATCATCAAATTACAACTCTTAATAAATTCCTTTTTTCTACTAATTCATTGACTCTTTTATACTCTTACTAATACTTTATCCTAAAAATATATTCTTTATACGATAACATTATAAATTTATTAAATATTTTAGATGATATTTGATTTATTTAATAACATTACAAATTTTATTTGCAAATGTTAAAAAATCTGAACAAATGTATACAATGAATATTATTAGAGAGTATTATTTTAATTGAAATCGATTAGTACCATGATATTATAAATAATTATATTTAAATAAAAATAAAAATTTGAACAAATATATTTGATTTGTTTCGATTTAAATTTTATAAATTTAATTTAAAAAGTAAATAAAATTTAAAGAATGCTCATGAAATAAATTAATTTAATTTTTTAATTGACTTGATTTAATCACTTGCCTTTAGGGGCGTTTGGTTCACGAAAAATATTATTACCAGGGAATAATCTTTTTCCAGTAGTAACATTTTTTTATTAAAATGCTGGGAATAACATTACCTCCAAATTCTTAGGTATTAGACATTCACACCACTTTGGACAATAATACCCATAGATTAATGAATTCATGTTATAACGATCCTTCTCCGTTCTTGTTTTTTTTCACTTTACTCAAAATTATAAACATATTAATAATATACAAAGAGTTTAATTTAGTAAAATATTAATAAACTTGAGTATTTAAAATTATTCTATATCTTTAATATTCAATATATTAATTATATTTAATTTCATAAGATAAAAAATAATATTATTGTAAAAATGTAATTGTTTAAGATAATATCTAACTTTAAGATATTAAAAATAGATCTTATACACTACAAAAATAATATCGTTGTCCACTCGAGATCATGATATTATTTTTTATGTTATATTATATTTTATATAAATAAATATAATATTTATAAAAATTATTTAAAATTATAAATTTAATATACTAATTATATATTAAATGTATTTTTTCTCCAAACTTAGATAGTATCGATTAAAATATTTCAATGAATTTTTATTCAAATATTTATAATTTAATATTAAAGTCTAACTTTTTAAAAACATATATCAAAATGATAATTTGATAAAATATGCATTCAAATAATTTTATATTATTTCAATCAAACACTCTAATATTATATTCATGTTAAATAAACTAAATAAGGTAATACAACATTCTTATAATAATGTTACATTTAAGTAATCTTACGTTCCATAAATAAAACACTCTCAAATCTTACGTTTCGTACCAAATACGCAAAGATTGGAGTTTTCTCTCTCTCTTTTTAAGAGAAATTGGTTTGAGAGAGAGAGAGTAAGATTTTACATAAACAAATAAATTATACAATTCCCCCGTGTGGTCGGGCACGCACCCGAACCAAAACGGATCTCAAAATCCAACATGAATCAGCTTCAATGGTGACAAGGCGTCTTTGTGCACTTTCCTCCTCTATCTGTGTTCACTGCCAAAGCAAAGTAAAAAAAAGTTCAAAAGCAAAAAACACAAGTTCATCCCAACTACTATTTCTAAAACAATAAATAAATCTATCCTTTTCCTCCATCTCCTTGTGCGAGAGAAATTTCAAATTCTTTAGATTTAATCTGATCAGAAATTCGTGGGGCTTGAAATTCGAGTCTCTTAGTTGTAATTTTTTTTAGATTTATTTTAGGGCTGACATCATGGAGATAGAGGTAGCTGGCTCTAGCAGCGAATCTTGCCAAGCTGGGGAGATGACGAGAAAAGCTGTGGAAGAGAAAGATCAGGTTCGTGTTACGAGAAAGACTTTGCAAGCTGTGCTGGAACAGTGTCAAAGAGCTATCGAATTGATTAGTAACAGCGAAGGAGGAATCGACGATGACGATGGTGAAGCTGAAGCTGAAGATAAAGATGACGTGGACCATCAAGGGGAAGTCAGCGGCGTCGGTCTTCAAAGAGATCAAGAAGTCGATGAGGTTTGTTGTATTCTTTCTGTTTATTATCTGCTTTAGGTTTCTATTTGGGTGCTAAGGGAAAGAGATGGATTCTAATCGAGAATCTAACATGATCACCTTTTTAGCTCGTAAAAACAAAGGATTTTAATTTTGTTCGAATTTATTTTTTCTTCTTCCATTTTTTAAAGTTCTTTGCGAAGATTTTTTTTGTATAAACTTATTCTAGGTTCTGTTAAATTAGGAATTGTGGAAGATAATATCAAACAAATGAAGGCAAATCAAAAGAAAGAAACATAAGAACACACCAGATTTTAGGTTCCAAGGCAAATCATAAACCCTGCTACCACTGAACCTATTTTTATCCCAATTTTAATTCTTCAACAATTAGGCATGCTGTGAAAATTTCGGGCCGGGCCGAACAGAATTCGGGTCACAATCTCTAACTCACTTCTTCCATGAGTGATGATTAATTCGATTTTGAATTGAACTTAGCTTGAATGAAACAATTAAATTTGTATTATAGCAAGATGGTAGTTCTCATCTGGATAATGGTCTGGTTTTTGATGTATCAGTAGCATATCTGTCTCAAGTGTCAACTGTCAAAGTACTTTATTCTGCTGCTGCATTAAACTTATTGACAAGTGTGGTTTTGGTTGACTCTTAAGCTAACGATGAGTATTGGGCTCATGCATATGTTGTCAGTATCAAGTCGAACAAAACAAATAGAGAAATACATAACTTGGATGTCATCTCAAATATGCTTTTCTTTGCTTCAGAGTCCGTTTGCCTCTAGTCTTCGTCTTATTGATATCATTTCAATTGCAACTATCCTTTGTTATGACTTTGAATCTTTTCTATCATAACAGTCATCCTATGAAGTAACATGTTGGTTCATAGATATAAAATTGGGAATTAAAGGATTTAAAATTGGATACTTGAAGCTCAAAACTAGAGCCTTTTTTCTATTAATAGAGAAGTCGAGTCTGATTGTTTTTCCATTGTATTCCGCTTGGCAGTAACATGTTTACTTAATATCATTGATCAACATAAAAGCCTGTCTTCAACTATTATACTTGAAGCTTAAAACTAGAGCCTTTTTTCTATTAATAGTGATTCCTTATTCTTGATGTGATAGGCAACCTACTAGAAAGGAAAATGTTTATGAATTTTGCTTTTGCTTTCCTATCAAACATTGCCAAATAACTTGGTATTAAATTTTTGTGCCCCTTTTATTTTAAATGCAGTTATGTGATCTTCTGAAATCTAGAGTTCAATGCTCTGATTTCCTAGAAAAGCTAGCTTGTGCTCAGGTGCCTGTTCCAGAAAACATTTCAGGTATGCATTCAAAGAGGGTCCCCTTTAAAGTCCGGTAGCATATTTCATTTTCAGCTCATTGCATGACTTTTAATATATATATTCAGTACATTGTGTTGGAATAATACTACTGCTAAAAACAGATACGTTAGCTCTGTCTTATTGGAAAAATAAATCTAACAGTAAACAAGACATAAATACAAACCGGATTGGGCGGTGACACACGCATGTAATGTACTTTAGCCCCACTATTCAATGAGGAAAGTAAACAACACTATATTTAAAAAGCTGTTTTCTACCCAATGTGGGATTGTCCTTGCATTACTAACATATTGAAGTTCATGCTTTTAGGAAAACTCTGTTTGTGATTAAAAAGATATTTGTTGTGTGGTTGCTAATGATATTCTTCTATGGAACCAGAAGAAGGTAGTTCGTGGGACATGGTCAATGAAAATGATCTCTGGGAAGATAAAAATATTGATTTGGATCAAGAAGATTATGTTCTTGTTAGGCAGGAGGATATAGTAGAAGGAATTGCATGTTTTATGGCTGCATATTTGCTATCCCTTAAACAAACTAAGGTATGTGAAACTCTCTTTGCTGTCTCAGTTTTTATCTCAAATTTTCTGTGGTCTTACATTTTAGCAGACTGAATAAAATGTGTTGCATGATTTTTTTTTCTTTCCCAGGATTTGACCCCTAATCAACTTCAGGAAGGTGAGTCTTAAAGAAATAAATATAATTTCACGGAATAACTTGTATTTTCTATATCAGGTATCTTTTATTCCAAATCTATTTTTGATCACTAATTTGACATTATAAATTCTGACATTCATTTGAATTTCATTTGTAGCGCTGAGCAAGACCCTCTCAGTAAAGAAGAAAAGGGGGAAGCTCCGAAAAGCTTGGGACGGAAGCAAAGTCATTTATAATGTGGCATCCTGGGGAGCTACTGCAATTGGGTGGGTTATGATTTTAATCTCGACAAACTATTGTTTTTCTCAATTACTTGGCCGGTCGGTGGTTTTAACATGTGTTGCCTCTTCCTATCTATATACATTACCAGTTGAGTTTGGTGTCATGTGTTTATTAATTATTTAACCTACTAAACCAACAGATATTTGTTAATTTAAATCAATAACTAAAAACTATTCTATTAAACAAAAGTATCTCTTTCTTTATAAAAAATAATTACTGCTATCATTTATTTTTAAATATATTTTTATATAAATTATCCCACTTTTGTGGATGTGCCATTTAGTGTATATATATTATGTCATTCGATTGGCAGGTATTGTAATACATTTATATGTTTGTTGGTTATGGACAGGATATACCAAAACCCTCTACTTCTAAGAGCTGCATCGAAGGCCTTCTGGGTTTCTTGTAATGTCATATCAAAGCTTCTCTGATTTCCTTGCAGTACCTGGAGAACAAAGGTTGGTGTTTTACAGGCTGATATTCTTTTTATATTTTCTGCAACAGATCCATTGATTTTCGTCTTCTGCAAATATTGTTCTCTTGAAGAATTTCTGATTGCAGTTCAAATTCATTGGCATCTCAATTCCTGAACAAATGCCAATTCCACTACATCCCCTTTAGATGTGGGAGAGTGATCAACTAAGCCGATCTTTGTGGCCCCCGTCTCATCATTATTAGTTTTGTTTGCTCCCCATTAAGATCACTGTTCATATTGTATGCTGAAAGAGTAGTGTTTATTTGGAACTTATTTCCAAAATCAATCATGTTTGAGAATCGTGGCGTGAAAGCAACATGTTCTTCCACAAATTCATTGCTTTTCTTAATTTTCTATTTTCTTCCTTTGTGTTCTGCATTATTAATAATAATAACAATAATAATAAATTCGACATTATCGTTCATATCAGCATTGATATAAAAAATACAACATGCCAATTTGAAAGAAAAAAGAATATCAATTTAAGCCCTGAAATTAAATCTCAAGTATGGAATAGTATGTTAACGTTAATAATAACACTAAGATCGATTGAAACCCCTTTTAAAAGAAAAGTTTTCAATCAAGTGATGTTAGCTTCCCATCATCTTCCCTTCAAAGGGGAAAATCGATGATCATTGAATAACATAGCCTCTTTCAATTCATGCAAAGAGAGGAAATGCATTTTTCGGGCCCAGGGGTGGGGGGGGGGGTGGTGGAGTTTCATTTGTTAAGAAACATTTCAAAGAGAAAGCAAAACGGGGTGATAAAAGAAACTTGGAAAGTGTGGATAGAAGGGGAGGTAGCTGGTTCAGAGAAAATATAAGATACATGGTAATTCGATTTTATTTGACCTTTTTTTTCTTCCAATGAGAACACTAGCATAAAACCTGAACAAGAATTTTTGATTGTGTTAATTTATTCATACAATTCGTCCACGTTACACTCTCCTAGGAAAACCTTTAAGCTGTAGGGTGAGCCACAATCACCTTCAGCAATTAGTGCTCTGTCATTGGCAGCCATGTGCTCAATGATTTTGTAAATCATTTCAATCTGCAATAATAAAACAGAGAGTTAGCTCAGCATTTTATTGCTCGAGTCGTGAGGAGTAACCTCACAAACAGTATTTTCATACATACGTCTTCAGGAGCATGGCAACGTTCAGCCACTTCTTCCAACGTCAATGGTTCAATAGGCTGATCACAGCTAAACAAAGTGAAACGGAAATTGTAATCAGCAGAAGAAGAACAACAAAATACGCTCATTCATCCACCCCAAGCCCAACGAAAGACAACAAAAAACTTCATGAGAAGGGAATTTCATAAAGACTTTTCAGTCATGCAACTTCCTTTCAACGGTGTTCAGTATGATGCTTCCCTAAAGTAGTATCTGACATATAATGGCATCAGAGATCATAATCATCTGGCATCTTACCTGGCCTCATTGAGTACTGCTAAAACCCGCTTCTGTAGTGCTAATACTTCGCCTGCTGCTTTTTTCCCGGCTTCCACACCTAAGATGAAATTTAAGTGCCAAAAATAGAATAAGGATCAATCAATATGATTAGCCCAACAAGAATGTTTAGATCAAATATGACCCAACAAGTAACCAAACACTATTCTCCTCAGTCCCTTCCAATAACTAAATTTCCTAAATAGAAGATGAAACATATTTTTACCAGGTTGATGGTAGGCGTTAATGTTGACAAGCAAAGCATAAAGTCCAACTGCTCGCTCATAAAGTGCTATGAGAGCTCCAACAGATCTAGGTGTCACCTCTTGGACAGTGACAGTGATGGACTCCCGGTCATTTGCATACAGAGCTGATCTTGTTCCCTGCATAAGCAAAGTAAAAAGTGCAAACATTATCAGCCTTTATCATGCCTACACTCGTTAAAATCCCCTTTTCAGAAAATTGGCACTTATCAAACCTGTAGCATTCCAAACAGGTAGTCACCACATGTAACACCTGGTTCAAGTTCCCAGTCATGACCAGGAGGTCTATCACGTAATACTTCAATGAATGTCACAAAGAAATTATGCACACCCTCCCTCAGCTGTTGAATATAGCTATAAATTGATTATGAGGAAAGTTGCATCAGGCCTGAGCTTCACTTTCATCAATACAGAAAATAAATTTTAGAGGCATAGGGAAAACTTACGCATGCTGATCTGTGCTTCCTTTATTCCCATAAACAGATAATCCTTGATTTACCTGATGAATTGAGAAATTGTGTTTTAACCAATTATAAGAATGTAAGAAATTCAAACATGTTTATAATGAGTAAATTCAACAGAAAGTTTGAAAAAACAAGAACAAAGACAAAAAAAAATGCAATAAATTTGCATCATGCTCCATCATCATTGATTTTCAAGATCTCAGGTAACACAATTTGACAGGTTTCTGGTTCCTTTACATTGCTTTGATATTAATAAATTAAAGCTTATCTTTTTTTTATTTATATAAGAATTAAAGTTTATCTAATAAAGCTTTGATATAAATAAATTGTACATAATATGCATCGAGGGGCTAAAGCACATATTTTGTTGAATTAAGGCCTGTGCCACCAATAACGTTCCTCGGGACACAATTCTACTACTTATTAGTCATGACAAGTCGATAAATAAAAGTCTCTGATATTTCATCAATACATAACTAGAGGCCCAATCAATTATGGCTAATATTTAGAAACAATACAACTAAGTTACAGATCACTGATCATGCCAAAATGCTTCAATGAGCAAAATATTTGACAACAATCAATCCATTAAAATGGCTCCACATAAGTAAGAAAATGTATGATACAAGGTATACTCCTAACATAAGAATCAATCATGTATGGAAAACCATGAAACATTCTCCCCAAACACAAAATGTCCTCATATCAGCCCATGTGCTTTATCCAGTAATACACCCGCCATGAAAAGCAATTAAAGTGATTGACAAGAAAATGACCTACAGTTTAGCTTCTTCTACAAAGTGGCCACTAGTGAACCAAAAAGTCTCCAATATACATCTTAAAATAAAGCATCTTAAATGGACCCACATACCCGGTTACCATCCAGGTCAAACTCCTTGCCAAGTGATTCCATAACCAGCTGCTGTAAGTATCTACTAAAAAGTAATAAGCTGTCCTTGTAAGGAAGGACAACCATATCCTAAAAGAAACCCACAAGAAAAGCCACTACTATGAGAAAACAAAATTTTGACAACATAAGAACTGTAATGTTGTTAAGAATTTAATACCTTAGATCCAACCCCATCACATGCCCAATACCAACATAAAGCAAGCAATGCTGCAGGATTATCCCTAAGCTGAAGGAAAGGACGAAAAATATTTATGTCAATTGGGGGGAGTGGGGTGTTAGCGGAATACAGGCCAGATACAAAATAGTTATAGGAAGTCAAGCAAACTGAAACAAGGAAATATTTCAAACAAAAGATGAGAACCAAGTTTTTTCCATGCAAAGAAACTGCCAACTAAACTCTTTAGCTTCCAAAATAGGCAACATGAGATGAAGACAAGTAACCCAATATCACCAAAATAAAAATTGCAACTTTCATGATCCAATTCTTCCCTAATCGAACAATTGAAAACAGTAGCAAGATATGTTTAAGCAACTATAAAACATCATTCCAAAATTTACCACTATGCTCCTAGTGGCATTGTCCATCATAGATGCACCAACTAGCATCTCTCTTATGTCAACTCCCTGCAGAAATATTCACTTAGATGAACTGCCTGAAAGTGCTCTGATAACCAGAAATATTAAATCCATGGACTACATGCCTGAAGTGCTGCTGGAAGCAGACCTACAGCAGACATTTCAGATGTCCTGCCACCAACCCAATCAAACATAGGAAATCTGGCTACCCAACCCTCAATCCTCGCTGTGCTGTCCAACAAAGAATTTTCTTGTGTTATCGCAACACCCTGCATGATTGTGTAAATAAACAACACATAAATCTGAGAATAAAATTACAGAGAAAATCTGCCTCCAGAGTACAGGAAAATCTGACAAGAAGACAAAGTTCTCATCTAAACACAATAGCTGTTTATGTAATACCAAGTGAATTAAATACCAAAGTAAAATTTTAAAATGAATCTCTCAAGTAGGGTAAACAAATAAAAGCAGAAACAAGAACCTGAAATCAAAACCTGTTTTGAAAAATCCAGACCAGCTTCACGGAAGGCTTTCTGAACTTCCAACAGACCATTCCTAGTTTCTGGGGTACCTCCACTCTGAGTGATGTAAGTTTTCATTTGATAAATAAAATATATATTTTATATATAGTCCATTAAACAGGTAAGGAAAGAAGAATAAAACAAGAACGAAGAAAGGTAAGTATATATATATATAAGTAGATATTAAGGATGACTTAATATAGACCTTTGAAATCACAATAACAAGGGTAGAAGCCAGCTCAGGACCAAGCTGTGCAATCTGATGATCTATTCCTCCGGGATCTGTATTATCAATAAATCTTATCTGCCAATTCAGATAATAAGTATCAGAAGCCTACTCCAATATATGTATGAATATGGTTAAGACTTAAAATCATTCAGCCGGTAATGAACAAATATCTGAATTCGAGCAACAAAAGGATCATCGTGTGCTTTAACAAAAAAAAATCATTCAGGTAATAAATATCTTGAAAGGGAAGTTGGAGCTTGCTTTAACAAATAAACACTACTACTGCAAGCAGACTAAACATCATTGTGAATAAACAAATGCAAACACAATTCGATCTAACAAAGCAAGGGATAAGGAGCCAATGCTTCAACTGGAGAAGTTTACCACAATTGTTTTATCAAAATATTCTTTTTGAAAAGCACATTTCAAAGAGCATCAAATTATAATTGAACAAATACCTTTAGAGGAGGATTATCAGGAGCCAATGCTTCGGCGACGAACTGTGGGCCCAGAGCCGAACCTCCAATCCCAACTGAGAGTATTTGAGTAAAACGACCCTCTGGAGAAGACGGAGGTTTAATCTGCAGTTTAAAAGGGATTAAGTAAATTGATTAGTAAATAACCTGCTTCAAAATTGATGTTCAACTAGCTTGTTACAGCGAGTAAAAAAAGGAGCAGCCAAACTAACCTTACCGTTGATGACATCATCAGCAAACTTGCAAACGGCGTCGAGAGTCTTATCAATCTGAACTTGCAGAAACGAAGTTGGAGCGAGCTCAGAGTTCCTCAACCAATAGTGCCCTACCATCCGCCCTTCGTCGGGATTGGCTATGGCGCCTTTTTCCAACTCCTTCATAGCTTTGAACGCGGCTTGAAACCGGGGCTCCATTTCGGCGACGAACACATCCGAGAACCCGATCCTACTAACATCGAGGTACAACCCGAGTTCCTTGTGCTGGTACAACCAGTCAACGTACCTCCTCCAAAGCGCTATAGGATCTTTCTCCAGTCC